TTTCAAGGCTCAAGTTTGAAAAAAGACTTTTTGAACACCAAATTAATTTTTATACAGAAAATAATTACAGTTCATCTGAAACAAATGATTATAACAATATATTTGAGAGAAAAAGCATGTTATTTTGCCTCATTCAAATCTAAAGTGCAATCACATTCATAAATGAATGGCTTCTGATTTTTGAAATGTAAATTACATCATAACTTCTCCTCAGCTGCCGATTAACCTGGCCGATCTTCGACCCACTTTTCTCCAGATTGTCACTACGTTTGTCCATTTTCTGTTATCTCTTTTGTTATTTTCTTCACTTTTCCTTCTTACCGCTATTTTTTATTTTTCTTCTTCGTGGCAGGGGTTCACTTTGGCCTGGGGAGTCAAGTTCAGGATTCGCTTCAATGATATCTGGTGCCATCTAGCGTCGTGAATGGGTATAACGTCTAGACCCCAAATAGAAGATGACCCCACTTTTTCAGTCTTATTTCAATGCAAAAAACACCGTCTTATATTTGGGTCAATACGGTATTATTTTGTTATTATGTTCTTAAGACTTCAAGATGGCACCGCGAGAGGGGCTACCTTAACAGCAGCTCCTATCCTTTTTGTTCTTCTACTTTCTTCCTTTCATAACTTTGCTGCTGTCATGTTCCGTATTTGGCAGCAGGTGGCAGGCGTTCATTCTGCTGCCTGCACACCTGCAGCCTATTTGTTAATGATTACACCTGCTATTTCTCAGCACTCCGGCCGATTCATTGCCGGAGTATTGCATGCCGTGCCACTGTGATCGCCCATGCTCGTAAACCTTATTCGTATTCAATTGTTGTTCGCTACACTTTCGTCATCCCATTGGGATTATTTAAAAACGCATATTTGATCTAGTAAATTGTCTTATCTTTTTCCTTGCCGTTTTTTGCAAGCGCTTTGTTTTTTCACGTTACATTATTTCCTGGTTCTCGTTTTGACCAGCGTTTTCTGTTTTCCATTAGACGATGTTTTTCGTTTGTAATAAATATTATTTTTTGAGACGAAGGCCTTGTCAGTGTCTGCTACTTCGGGGATCCACTTATTCTCGTTCGCTCTGTTGCATACGACGCAGTTCTTTTTTCCTGCCTTGTACGCAACGTGACAGCTGCTGTAAATTGGGAATTTCTCCATTGTGAGACGAGTAAAGGTTTTCTTTTTAGTCTTATTCTTATTCAAATTGCATTACAATCAGAAAGTATACTTTTTTCCTGTGAAACGGATATTAACCCTGTCAGGGACAGCGGTTACTACAGTGGACAGCGTATCGATCATTATTGGTGCATGAAAGGGTTAAACACGTTTTTTCCCCCCAGAGGTTATATGAGATACACAGACTCACAGTTCAGGTACAACGTTTTGCACTCGATTGTGTTTTTCAAATTTGAATATCCATTCAGGTTGACTCATTTTGACAGAATGTTGAAATGTGACTAGAAAATCATCGATCCAGCTCATAGAAGCTCGACCAGCATTCTTGAACAGATTGCCGTCAGCGTTCCACTGAAACCCACAGTTGCATCCCTGCTATACAAGACTGACTAAAATGCTTCTGAGAGTTGCAAAACAGCCCTACGAAATGGAATAATTCACTATCTACGGAATTCATGGAGATGATCACAAACCCAAAACGCAAGCATGTAAAACAGAGGGCACACAACAGCAATTCATCCATCCAATTTCGACAGCGGGAATTGTTTGCTGGCCAATCGCAGGGCAAATCTTAACAAAGGACCATTCACACTCACGTACCGCATGTACACATGGATGATTTAAAGTCTTTAATTAAATTAGCCTGCGTGTTTAAGGAATATGGGAGAAAGCCGGATGTACTGTTGAAAGCTCACGCAAGCTCAGTAAGAAGAGGAGAGAGCCTGAGCTGACATCTGAACCCACTTTCGTCTAGACTTCTCCACTGTCATGTCAACGGTCATTTCACTGTCGGTTTACCAAGAGTGTCAACAACAGGGACACTAATCCGCTCATTACTGTCGTCAGGTAATACATTTCGTGGTCCTAGTGTTAGTTTGATCATGTGATCATCTTCGTAGAAGGCTGCTCATAGTCACATTTTGTGGAGAGTCCAAAACGTTTCATATAAATGTGTTCACCTCTCTGATATAAAAGACGATTTGATACGTATCTCGATTTATTTCAAAGTACAACAGTTCGGTTTGATTCCATGCACTCGCAATTTTAAAATCCAAAACAATTTGCTGTTTTAAATGCTTTTCTTGCTCCACCTATATTTCCATGGCATGTGATTTGATGTACAGTAACTGCCATGAATTGCAATAGTGCAAATGTAATGTTGCAAAATTGGTTTGTGATGGTGACACTTATGAATTTCTTCTTGCAAAAAAAACCCTCAAGACTCCTAATTAGGCCAACTGCATTTACTTTACGGGCTCTCAGTCGGTCTACACTTGTGCCTTTCCAGACCATAAATGTTGCATCACATTGACAAAGACATCAACAATGACAAAACGACATCATGCAAAAAAAGGCAAACTTTACATAATCAGTCCAAAAGGCAGACAATTATTTTCAATTCTCGCTTTTGGCACAAGGTAGAACGCTTGTCAGCCAAATCAGGAAAGAGGCTCAATGAGGCTCGCGCCTGCACAAAAGTCAGAATACTGTACCCCAGCATTTCCGCATGCGCTGTCTACGAAACCAGAGCTGGAAAAGTTGATGCGCATTCCAGTGATTCAAACATCCTCACCCTTTGCATGACTTTGCTCACTCCTCATATTCTTCTCAACCTCCCGAGTCCCTCGTCCTGATTAAAAAGACCTTCTGATGACGACGATCATCCGGCCAGGCATCTTGATGTCATATGTGTTCATCTAACGGATTCATGCAACTGTACAGCTGTCCATCCGGCTATCCTTTACATTGTCTCCTCCAGCCCATCTGTCTGGCTGGACGTCAAGCCATCTTTGCCGTGATGAAACCCTTCAAACTAATCTAGTCTCCAGATATCATTGCACCGCCCCTAATGAAGTGTGCATGTGTTTATGTGTGGTCCGGAACACTATTGTCCTGGAACAGCCTGCTCTTCATAGTAGACTTATGTAACGAGACTGCATGCATATTACTGTCAGCGATTTTGCCTTGGTTGCAAACACGCCACCAGGTTTGTGTGTGTGTGTGTGTGTGTGTGTGTGTGTGTGTGTGTGTGTGTGTGTGTGTCTTTGACTACGCAAAGGGATTTGATGACGTCAAATGATCAAGTGCAATTAAGTTGTGTTTTAGGGGCCTATTTTGATAGACATGCATCTGTGCGCTCGGCATACAAACTGGTGCATCGCCTGCGTCTGATCATAAGGACGTTCCCCTACGCCGATTGGCTGTAACCAATGACAACGGACTATGACAATGGACTGAGCTGGCCTGAAATAATGACGGAATGAAGACTGACGGACTGGCCTGCCCACCACTGCCGCGAGTGCGTGCCCGCCTGGCCTGAGTCCAAGACACCCTCCTTGGCCTACTTGGTCCCTTAAGTATTTTCATATTTTAATATGAAGTTTAGAGTAGATGAAACAAAGTGCTCTACAATGTATCACTTTGTATCAGTCATTGACTCACTTAAACTGTCCCGTAGAACCCCAAAACTATTTTAAAGTACCATTAACATGTTAGCATCCATATGGCGTGTTAGCAACTTTGCATGCACACTTCCATTATTCTGTTAACTTGTTATTCTACTGCCTGGGTTAAAATGTAAACAATGATAATAATGGTCATCCAAAAAGGGGAGGGAAAACATTCAAAAAAATTGGTCTGTTCTTTAGTGAGAAGCCTCAGTAGGGTTTATTTTATAAATACAGTTGCCTTCTTGAGACTTTTATTTTGAAGGCCTACATTTTTTTTTGTCCTGTGTCGTGTGTCTCTCTCTTTCACTCCTGACACTTCTCTGACCTGAACTGAATGCATCGAATTACACAGTGTGTCTTCGTACGATACTATGAACAATAAGAGTATTTAGGCAAAAAAAAAAAAAAAAGGACGTTTTTCTTTGAGGTTTTTGAAAAGCTTTTTATGCAAAGACTACAATAGTGTTCACAGCGACATGCAAAATTGCATGTAATATGCATGCCAGCACCTGGAGCAACCAAAACACAGTGAAGACCATCTCGGAGGTCTGATTGTGACACGGGCACTCCTGTTGGTTGTTTGCATGTTCGGCGTCCTCCCACATTCCAAAAACATGAACATAAGGTTCATTGAAGATTCGTCATTGTTAATGGACTGATTGTCTACAAGTGCCCTCTGATCGACTGGCAAACAGTCCAAGGTGTGTACCCCAAGTCAGCCCAAAGTCAGGTGGGACAAAATCCAGTTTCCAAGTAGGACCAGTGCATTTAAAAAAAACAAAAAAAACAAAGATCTAATTTGTATGCAACCAATGGGACTCCGTTAGACACATTAGCAGTGTACACTTAACTGAAGAAGTCTGGAAACACAAATGCGACAGGAGTATTGTGGTCTGTCTTAGTTTTGGTTGTGATGTACTTGTGCATGACTACAATGAGCGCCTAACACCCGTGCACGTGTTCAGCATTTTCGCAGAAAGCATCCGAGCGTCGTGCTGGAACGAAATTTTTTCAGCCTCGAAAACGCCGTTGCTGTGTAAAGTTGCAGGCCAAATGTCAGTGCTTTTATCGCCTTTGAATCACCCCACACTCGTTCTTATCAGGCTGCAAAGCAAAGCTGTGATTTGTTAACTTTATAAATGGTGTAAAAGGCCTCTGTGTCAACAATATTGGGCTTGATTACCATCGGAAGAGACAAGAGATCTCAAGCAACTTCACGCTAGCAGGATTGGATGACCCCCAGTAAGACCTCTTGATAACCTCCCACCGTTGTACATCAATCCTCTTTCAGTGACTCAACCCCATTTTGCCCTTTGGCAGGCATTCATTTCTCTCGCTAAACATTCAAAGCAACCAGTCCCAAAGTCCTCCCCATCTTACCTCCATCAGAGTATGTCTCAGTGCCGTATCCGTCTTGCAGCCCATTGTTCCACGTTCCCTCGTACTTGCCGCTCATCCCGGTGCTCTCCCGAAGACCGTAGCGTCCCTTAAAGCCGTGCGTCCATTCCCCCTTGTAGACCCATCGACCCTTGTTCTCGACGCCCACGCCGTGTCTCTTGCCCTGCGCCCAGGTGCCCTGGTAAGTGTTCCCGCTGGGCCAAGTGTAGACGCCCAACAGCTCAAAGCCGTGGGCCCACGACCCACAGTACTCGCCCTGGCCCTTGGGACCCGTGCATATCCCGTGCCCGTGCGCCTTGCCCTCCTCCCACCCACCGCAGTATGACCCCCCATCGTCAAAGTTGAATCTGCCTCCAGTGGACATGCATGAAACAGGTCTCGGCAATTCCCCCGAAGCCTCGACAAAAAGAAAAAGAAAACAAAAAGAAAAGAGAGGGAGAGGAAAGGAGGACAGGTTGGTGCTATAGGGATCAGTCCATGGAGCTGGGGTTTGAGGTGGAGGTCCGATGAGGAGAAGAAGAGGGAGGAGTGAGTGGGAGGGAGAGAACTCCCACTCAGTTCAACACAGCCTGCTGTGCTCAGATGCAATCAGCTTTCCAAACTGAGGAAGAAGAAACAAGGTGGCCGTGAACGGCGGCGTCAGGGATCTCCTGGCAGATAGTTCACACCATCCTCCTGCTGGGTTTTCCGGAGCACCAACTCGCAACTTGCCGGCTCCTGAGAGCTGTGGGAAAGGAGGATGGTGGTCCCATCGCTGCCATGATCCGCTGTCAGCTGGAGATGAAACCGTGCGAAAGCTTCAGCAGTCCGCCATGGGCCGGCCTACGCGATCCACAGCACTCACTGGCCTCCTTTCCTGCTTTCAGCCGCCTCCTCCTCTTCCTCCTCCTTCTCCTCCTCCTCTGTGGTGCGTGGAGCACAGAAGTTTCCCCAACGGCAGCTCATCAAACATCCAAGATTAGGCTTCCGCAATCAGGACCGAGGCCCCAACTGCACGGGCGTGTGACCTGTTGTCGGATCGATCAAAAAAGCACTTCCTTCCTCGGACATTGATGTTTGTCTTCAACTCCGCTCTTGGTGATAAAGCATAGCATCGTTACATCATACAACTAAGTCGATCTGGAGCTCACTTTTGGCTTGATGCACACATGTAGAGCCAGGGAGCAAACACATGCTTAGAAAGGGGGGAGGTGGGGGCGGGGGGCAGGAACAAGCATGAATTAATTGTGCTTTGCTGTTTTGTTTTTTTCTGGTCTGCCCATATAGTGCTAGCAAGCAGTAATGCAGTCTCCCCCTTACACACACACACACACACACACACACACAAAATGAAGATAAATAAGTGAATAAATGAATATCTCCGCCCGTGTTGCTCCTGTGGCTTGTCTCAGTCTGTCTGCAGGTCTTTAATCCACTGCGTCCATAAGTGGTTTATCCTCTGCGTGGGTTGCCTTCAGCTTGATGAGATAATATCCATCTATATCATCTGCTTTTGCTCTCCGCGATGCACTTCGGCATCTCCTGCTCATCTCCACGTTTCCCCATGGAGAAGCGGCTGACGCATAACCTGCTTTTCTTGCTCCCACGATTTCTTCTCTCTCTCTCTCTCTCTCTCTCTCTCTCTCTCTCTCTCCCCCCTAGAAAATCTGCTCATTACAGAGGACTGTTCCAATGCAGGCAGCCAACCCCACTCACTCCCTCCTCCTCCTGCTTAGAAGCCCGCTCCATCTTTTAAAGAGAAACACGCTCTCACTCAAATCCTCACTCACTTGTAGCTTTTCAACCCTTTTTTTCATCCTGTATCACACCTCAAACGTGCCTATTGTGCCTTTCCTAAGAATGCCGATGATTTTCGCACTACCATAAAACCGTCATGCATCCAAAGCTTTTTTGTGTACACGTAATGTAAAACTGACAAGCCAGAAACAAGCAAACAGTTGCTCTGCAAAGTGCAGCTAACTGCTCCCCTGGTGTGCATGTTAAATCCCCGTCGTATTTTTTTCTAGTAATTTGTAAATGTGAATGGTGAGCAAAAGAGGAAACAGTACGCACCATGGTAAAATGTAATGGTTGGCACAGCTGAGATTCAGGGTTCTAGTCTCAGTTCCAGCCTTCCTGTATGGATTTTGCATATCCTTTCAGTGCTTGCGTGGGTTTTCTGCAGGTACTCCGGCTTCCTTCCACTTTCCAAAAAAAACATGCATGTTAAGTTAGTTGATGACTATAAATTGCGTGTGAATATTTGTCTACATGTGCCATGTGATTGGCTTGCGACCAGTCCAGGGTATACCCCGTCAAAAGTAAACCAAGGGAATTAAGGGATAGGACCCATTTTATCCACAATCCTTCCCCTGTAGGCAGTGTAGAAAATGGACGCATGGATGAATGTTTGTCTACATGTGCCCTGCAGTTCTGGGCCTCTTTACCAGTCCAGGTCATCACTCAGCACATTTGCAAACGGATATATTCTGCACAAAAGCGTGCATGCTTCAAGCTGTTTTTTTTGTCACGTCCAGTTGAGGTTTCCTCTAAAACTGACACAAAAACAAAAGACATTAAAACATTGAACATAAAAATGCCTTTCTGCCCCACCAAACAGTATCATTTCGGTTAACAAAAGTATGCTAGCTTAATGCTAATAAAATGCCATACACCGGTTAACGGAAATGACTATACTGTCCGGTAAATGTTACGGTAATTTTAAGCAATCAAGAATATAGATTCTTTAACATACATGGAGCAATACAACACACTCACAGGAAAATATTCTCTTCTCTATGGTAAACACAAATATGAAAATCACAAAATGTGGTCAGAAGTGCCGTGGAAGGGAAGGCAAGCAAAGATGAAGGGGGCCCTGGAAGATAGATCCCACTGGCCTATATCAATGACAAAGCATTGCTATGACAACTTGTCTCGTTGAACCCCTGCATATGGCCCCTATTAGTTGCCGCCGAATGGTGAGCCACGAGAGACGACTCAGATTGGTGCGTATCAACGACACACCTGTAACCAGGCATCGAGATGACTCATTGGGATTTGGAGAGCTCCCTAATGGGGCCCTTACTACTTACATGAGAATAGCAGGGGTACCACTTTATTGCAAAGTTTACTGCACATTATTATTCTTATTGTTATTACTTATTATTATTATTATTATTGTAAACAGAACAGGCATATGCCATTAGTAGCCAAGTTGCAAGAAATTAGTTCTGTGCTACCAATGACAGTTTCTCTCAATTAGCAGAATAATGCATTTGTTGTCAAACGCTAAAATTGATACCAACATCAGTTCTGCTGACAGCTTGGTCTGTCCAAACTGCTACCGTATTTTCCGCACGAAAAGGCGCACCGGATTATGAGGCGCACCTTCAATGAATGGCCTATTTTGTAATTTTTTTCATATATTGGACGCACTGAATTATAAAGCGCAATCTACAATACATCCACTAGATAGAGCTACGCTCCTTCCGTTCAACTCGAGAGGCGTTCATGACCGCCTCCGAAAAACGTAAAGTAACGATTACTTCAATGAAACTACGATAATTGAAAATAATGCATTAAAACAGGAAATCAAGCGAGGAAATCACAAAATAAATTCTATAGACGCCCTTCAGAATTTATTTTGGCATTTCCTTGAGTGTAGCTCCAATAGCACGATCAGATGTCAGTAAAATGTAGGAGACTGGACTGTCTCAGAAGTGTTTGTTATTTATTCCTTTGTTGTGTACTGTATTCACAAATAGTACAAATTCGCTATAGAATTTATTTTGTGATTTCCTCACTTGATTTTCTGCTTTGATGCATTGTTTTCAGTTTTCATAGTTTCGTTGAAGGAATCGTTAATTTACGTTTTTTCGGAGGCGGTCATGAACACCTCTCGAGTCGAACGGAAGAAGAGACGGCACGGAGAAGGACAAAGACATACCTGTATTTGTTGAGACTGCCATTAATAAAGTGTGCGTTTTAAAAAAACAACACCACAGCTCTCCTTTTTTCGGAGCTGCAACAAAAACGTATTTAATAAAGCAGTGACACAGTTCACTGAACCAACAGCAAGTTATAACATAGTAAGCATGCCTCCAGCAAGGAGCCATGTTGGGGTCGAAATATTACCGTAATGACCATACACAAGGCGCACCGGATTTTAGGGCGCACTGTGAGCTTTTAAGAAAATGGAAGACTTTTCTGTGCGCCTAATAGTGCAGAAGATACGGTACTCCTTTTTATTTTGAATAGAAAGATATTGGCCCTATCCTGAAATTTCCTGGTACAGACAGTATAAGCAAAATCCATCCCTCCATCCATTAACCGTTCATCCTCACGGGTGTCGCGGGCATGCTGGAGCCTATCCCAGCTGTCTTCGGGCAGTAGGCGGAGTACACCCTGAACTGGTCGCCAGCCAATCACAACGCACACATAGACTTACACCCATCCATGCTCACAATCCCACCTAAGGACAATTTAAAGTGATCAATTAAACTATTATGCATGTTTTCGGGATGTTAAAGTCGATGCTAATTTCGCATAAGCATCCATCCATCCATTTTCCTTATCCTCACAAGGGTCACGGGGGGGGATGCTGGAGCCTATCCCAGCCGTCTTCGGGCAGTAGGCGGGGGACACCCTGAACCGGTTGCCAGCCAATCGCAGAGCACACACAGATGAACAACCATTCACGCTCACACTCACACAGAGGGACAATGTCGAGTGTTTCATCAGCCGGCCATGCATGTTTTTGGAATTTGGGAGGAAACCGGAGTACCCGGAGAAAACCCACACAAGCATGGGGAGAACATGTAAACGCCACATAAGAAGACCGGGGCCGATGTGGACGTGCTAACCAGTCTCCCACCTTGCTGGTGTAACCTAAACGTTCCTATAAAAAAAATTTTAACATGAACCATTGAAGTTGTTTCTGGCTGTTCATTAATATTTCCATACAGAACTCAACTGTTGAGTATTGGTAGAACACACCATGCTTTATTTATTAGAACAAGATGGGTTTTTTAATCCCTTAAATTGCTGTCTTGAAGTAACTTCACATCTTCTGTTTGTTTTATCCAAGTTTAATTGCCTTGCCAATGGGCATATCACTAATTATGTTTTCTGAGATATGAGAATATTAAAACTCAAGCAAACAGAAATTTAAACGAAGCAATCATATGCCCTTCAGTAAGAATTATCTACCCTCGTGCAACCCTTCTTTTCTCAAGTGTCCTGCCGTTGTCCTTGTCCTTCTGCGTCTTGGAGTGTTAAACCCATTCGGGCCAGATTACGGTAATAAAATCACAGTGAGGTTAGGGATTAAGGTTAACGCCTCTAAACACCATGATGGAAAGAGGAGAGATGTGTGCGTAGAGAGAGGGATTTGGGGGTGGGGGGGGGGCACAATGGGATCAGGAGGAGTAACATTAGCCATTCATGTGACCGCATAGATAAAAACATGGCATCACCCATGTAAAGTCAATTAGAGCCAGGGGCCTCATTGATAATGTTCATCGAGCATTGTAACATTTTTAGAGTATTTGAATCAATTTAACTCCTTAATAGTGGGACTAAAGTCAAACATCTAACTCTTAAAACTAATCTTAAATGGACACATAATCCAGAAGAACAGCAAAGTGTCCACTGCCGCATGCCCACTATCGTGAGTTTGCCATTTTGTAGCACTGTTCAAATGTGTTGTGACGATGGTTTATCCCGAACAGAATATAGTACCCAGAAGTGTCTTTGTTATGTTTACCCACGCGCGTCACACAGGGCAAAGCAGAGTTTCTTGGCCATTAGCTGGCCGGCTGGGTCGTTCAATTCCCCTGCTGCCTTGCTCCGTGCGTCACACGTGAGTCCACACAACAGAGACACTGCAGCCCAAACAACGCATGACACTTCAGGGAAGACGCATTGCTTAGCATACAGAAGCTACCTAGCACAATGCATTCTGTAGTGGTAGAAATGGTTCAAATTATTATTACTACCTGTATCTAACTCAGGGGTGCCCATTACATCGATCACTATTGACCGGTAGCACGCGGACTGGTCCCAAGTCGATCGCGAGGGGTGCAGAGGAGAAAAACCAAACAACCATTTGTGTGTCTCTACTCTCTGTGCATGTTAGTAATATATTTTTTTGTGTTAAGGCACACTGCACGCTAATCATCCGATCAGTCTCACTTTCATAAAAAGTTTTGAAAAAAATCTAATAAAATATAGCAGGTCATCTTTAACCTACTGTGGCCCGTGACCTGGGTCACCGGAAGTTGTTAGCGCTCAGCAGTCTGCAATTGCAGGTTGTGGTCAGAGCTGTTGTGCAATATCTTTTACCGTGAGCATTATTCTCATTCAGAGTTTGTTTCATGCACAATGTACTGAGGGCACTGACAAAGAATGGCAGTCTGGAGGGCTGAGAGAAGCATTTTAAAACGGTACACGTGAGCTATGATTACCAGGCTGCAAAAGTGCGTCGCATGCCTCCGTGTCCGGCTGTTGCTCTTCATGGCATACGTGTGTATGTGCGTGCGTCTGCGCGGTAACGGATCGATCGTGGGAGGTTGGTTGATCGAAAAGTAGACCTTCAGTCAAAAAAGTTTGGGCACCCCTGATCTAACTGATGAAATGAAGGCGCTCAGTATATGTCTAGTGGGGTGAGGGCCGACCTGAGTCAGGGGCCGAAGTGAGACAATCGGCCCCATGTTAGCCACGCCCCAAAAATCCAGACAACTGAAAAGGTTAATACTATATCGCAAGAATGCTGTAGTGATTTATTCTCAGTCTTTTCACCTTTTCAGCACTTCATCTTAAAACATAGTTAATATATTGTATTGAGAAACAAATAACGAAAATAACATGACAGAATCTTTTACCAATCTGCATGCGCAGAAGCCGAAATTGTGAGTACAGTAAATAACTCCACAAGGGTCAATATCATGCAGTAAAAGCACAGACGTTAATTTCAAACAAACCCAATGATAAACATAGTAAACACCAAAGATCTGTTCTATGGTCATCATCATTTGACATTTAGCAGACTTCACCAAAAATGCAAGGAATAATAAACAGAATGAACTTTTGGTGTCCACTGAGTTGAAGTCTCACAAGATTTTTTTTCCCACGTTTTATTTTGACATTTGAGCTTTGGGATTTTTTTCAGAAAATATTGGATTCCGACTTTCAACTGCGGATGTTTGACTGTGACATTACATGACAGTGTCAAAGTGAACGAATTCAGAAGCATGAACATAAGCATGGAATTAGCCGACAAAGTCAATTGAGGAAACCAAACAACAGGTAAAGGCTAAATGAATGCAGTGAAATTGAATTTCTCTTATATAGATAACTTCAGGTAATGATTAATGTTAAACAAGAAAATAATAGGTCCAGATTTGCCTGTGTATTTTTATGGGGTTGGAAGAGCAATCGAGTAACTTCAGTGTGTGTGTGTGTGTGTGTGTGTGTGTGTGTGTAAAAAGGTGCCAAGGTTTCTTTCTCCCTCTCTCACACACACACACAGCCTGAACGTCTCTCACGAATACTACGTCCCCCGACGTCAGCAATGCACCCTGAAATTCTCTTTGGTTATTTATAGAACCTTTTTTGTCCCAGAGTTAAAATTAAAAAGGGGCAACGCAGGAGAGAGAAGAACAGGAGCTATGAAGGAGGGAGGCTGGAAGACAGCCTCATTCTCATCCATCTCCTCTCCTCCTCTATTATTCATCAGTCTCTTTGCATCCCTCATTCAGCATGTTGATGGAGAATAAAATAGGTCAGAGCAGGATAGACTGGTGCTCCACCAGTGATTGATGTCGTCTCTGACACGTCGCGCACTTTGTCCTCACCACTTTCTCTGCACCGCATCCTTTGTCCTCTTCTCCTCCTTCTTTCATCTTTCCACTGCTCGTGCCTCTCTTCCACTTTAGCTTGATTCAGATCACTGAAATTCTTCGTTGCAATGAAGCGGAAAGACTGTAAGATCAAGTGCTGAAAAACAAACGAGTTGTGACATTGAAAATGTGGGAACAGTGGAAAGAAATATGGACTTGCCCATCATTGTCAAGGGAGAGTTTACTTATTCAAGTGTAAAAATGCATTTGCTAAGCAAAGGGCCATCTTTCCAAACACACATGGGGATGAGATTTCCTTGCACGAGCCATCGCTAGTGACCCATTTTAAAATTGTCCATTACCCAATGAACTGAACTGACGCAAATGACAACCACAGAAAGATAAATCAATCCATCATTCCACCCATCCATTTTCTATACCACTTACCCTGATCAGGTTTGCAAGGAGCTTGAGTCTATCCCAGCTGACTTCACCCAGCAGTGATTGCCAGTCAATCACGGAACATATACAGACAGATAATATTCACACTCAGTCGGACTTGTTGCTGCTTGTAGTATTTGTGTGTTGCTTTTTAGTTCATGAAAGCCTGACTGTGGATGGTATGATAAACAATGTCTTCCCGGTGACAGAGCGGTTTAAAAGCAGGCCAATGAATATAAGCATGTATAGGTAAGTGCGAGTGCGGCCACACGCATGACATCATGCACGTAGCCACTTCTCAGTGAGACGATGTGTCAACGTGGCCACCCAACGGAAAGATTTCTACCCGGAAAGTAAATACCTTTTTGGAAATGTTCCACTAATTCTTTCCCCAATGGTGGAACGTATTTATTGTGGGTGACTTTATTTGAATACAGTATATAAAACATATCCTCTGAAATTGATCAACCAATTTTACTGCACTGCACGCATTTTAAAGACGCTAATTCGCTCAGTATGAAATTATTCATATTAACCGGAATATATCATGAATATACGAGGCCTTATTCTGTCAGGGCCACCAAAACGTGCCTCATGGTGGTCCTGCCCCCGTCACTGGAGATATTTTCGCACGCACAGGTCGCCCCCTGCTGCCCATGATGAATAATACAATTTCAAGTTCAATCATTTGAAAGAAAACAACATTTGATGGGTCAGGTGTCAACCCCGGACATACTTTAAAATGTGACTACTTTGCGATGGATTTGGAAATAAACTGTTGATATACCACCAACGTTACATACAGTGTTCAATGAGTAACAGAGAGAGCTTTGTCAATAAATAGACTTTTTTTGGGGGGGGGGGCGTCTTTAATATCAGCTCTGATTCCCTGGAGAGGGTCAAAGATTTACACTCTTCAGTCAAAACTAACATGGCGATTAGTAATTTGCACTCCACGTTCAATGACAGCTTGCATAAAACATAACATGCGCATAATGTATTTTACAAAGCGTGGTCAAAGTCACTCAAACGTCCTCCGAGTGGTCTTCATAGAAGACTTTAGCCATAGCTAAGGCGACCTTGGTGACTTTTTTGTCCTTGGCATCCACACCCATGTTGGTGCGTGCGAGTCCTATCCAGTACTGCTCGGTGCGGGCCTGGTAATCTGTCAGCGTCTCCCCGTCCTTTGCTGCTGGGTGCTCATCTTCATCTGCACAAAGACACATTCATCTTGTTCTTATTTTATTGAATATTGCACTGAAGTCATCTTGTAACCCAAGTGGGAAAAGCCTGTCAGATGTCTGCTGATAGCCTCGCTCTGCTCAGAGACACGGGTTGAATAAAATCCATCAACACAAAGCGTAATTCTTGGGAATAAAAAAATCTGTTCTGTCCACTTCGTCCTACTGTTGTTGCACGCTGTGCTGAAAGGCCATTCAGTGTTTCTCTGTGATGAATGATTTGGATCACATGAATTGACATTCTTACACTGATGCTCATTACGATTAGCCAACAACAGTGATTCATTCACAAGCTTTCAAGTTTTCTAAATCTTTTGGGAGGAGCATGTTAAATCAACTCGCACTATCCATTTTTAGATACTTGTTAGGCCCAAGGTTATAATAGATTCCCTGCTAGAACCTCCATTCTTCACCATGGTGTCAACTTTTATTTAACATGGTGGTGTGATCCAAAATTAATATTTAAAAAAAAGATGATGATGAATTACAGTACAATACCAACACATAAAAAAAGATTGCTACCTTCTGATGAAAAACACGCAATATAAGATTCACCAATGGCATATTAACAGATGTGGACATTGTGAAGGCTTCGATTTTATTTTTAATACGTTGTGACGATCTGCTTTTGACTCCTAACTGCCAAGGCCGCCACAACACCAATGAAAGAATGTTTTGTATCTCGCGTCAATAAGTACAACACATCTCCATTGGTCGTCAGGGTCTCGTCAATTCTGTACAGTACTGTGGTCCCACCGGCATTATCATAGAGTCACAAGACCACTGCTACCAGACCACTCATCGCTAGTTTGTAGGCCTGGACAATGAAAGAAATAATAACAGTCATGATTATTTTGATTGAGATTGAAATCACAATTCATAAAGAGAACCCAGGGAAAACCCACACAGACACAGGGGAGAACATGCAAACTCCACATGGGGAGGCCGGAGGCGGAATTGAACCCGGTACCTCTAAACTGTGAGATCGACGCGCTAATCACTGGACCGCCGGGCCGCCTCGCATAAGCATGTCAATGGGATATTACATTGAGTTTAGCATTAGCGCTACCAATGTTTAAAAAAAAAAAAGAAAATAAGAAATAATAAGGAAAGTAAGACATATGCAATGTATGTCTTACTTTTTGCTACGTTTTACAGTAAACTCCCAAGTGGGTGTCAGTTAACCTCGAAAAGCACGCTAAGGGACGGCAGAATTACAGAAATGTTACGCAAGCAACATTTTCACAATGTTGGACACTTGTAAACCATTCTGCACATGAATCGTTTTTCTATGATTCTATCATTTTCAAGATCGAGAAAAGCAAAAATCGAGATCACAATTACATTTTGATTACGGGTAATTGTCCAGTCTAGCCCTCACTACCATGATTAAGCCAATCAAGTGCCAACACCAGAGGATAATGAGTAAAATGATTGGGGCCAAGAACACACAAACCGATACCGCGTGTGTTTGTCATCATTCTTTTTAACTTATTATTATTATTATAATATTTTGTACGTTAAATATGTTATTTGCTGTGATCTTATTTATTGTATTTTCTTTATTTGTGTTTTCCTACTTTGACCGATTTACGACAACTACTTTTATTTAATATTGATTTAAACTGCGAAGGACTTTGTGACTCTTGCTCTGTTCATATTTTGGTCTATTTTTTGGTGGCTCATGTTGTTTCAGTGAGGACGAACAATGAGAAACCAACAGTTCGAACAAAATAGATGGAGAGGAATCCCTTACGTTCCTCATCAGACTCCTCTTCCTCTTCTTCCCCTCCCTCTGCTCCTCCTGCAGCCTCCTCTTCTTCATCGTCGTCCTCTGACTCAGACTCTTCCAGCCATTCTTGGGTCTCTAAAGAAAGTGGATCATAAAATCCAGTGAAAACTCACTCAAATTACCGATTTTTAATTGTGGAACGTCCAACGTGGTCCTGACAAAAAGTGGCTGACTCACTTGGATCCATCTCAACCAAGACCTCCCATTGGTCCATCTTGTGGAGGTCCAGACAGTAGAAGTCGTTCAAGGTGAACTGGCGGCTGCCCACCTCAAACATCCCGCCATAAAGAAAAAGCTTGCCCTGACGCACCGTTGCCATGGCGCTGGACCGTGGACAGGGCTCCACAAGGGCTGAATCTGAATCAAAATGGAGGAGGCGACATCAAAACAATCAAACGCTGTTGGACACTTTGCAATTAATAGAACAAAACATACACAAAAAACTGTCATGTGACAGTTTTTTTATTTTTTTGGTGTGTTTTCTGAATAGAGGCCTAGGAGTATTGTCGTATGCTCTGATTGTATGTGTTGCTGCTCCTTGTGTGTCAAAGTAGCAGTTGCTTGAAGGTTTATCATTACACTGTAGACCCCTGCATGCACGCAGTTCGGCACCCGCAGATTCACACACACAAAAAAAATCTAGAAACGTTTACCGGTTTCTCTGATGGCAAAAGACGATTCATCGAAAATCAATTTAAACTGCTTAAAATATGCATGAGTGAAAAAAATAAAATAAAAGTGAATCGATCTTGAAATTTTGAAAGAACTTGGAATTATATCAAAACACTCAAAAATGTAGTTAAATGGTTAAAATTATTACCGCATTTTCATTTTTTTTGGTAATATTACAAAACGTTACTGTTTGTATAAAGGACAAAATGCAGATGTTAAAATGAAACCATCTTTTGGTGAGTCATTCATTTTGTTTGTTGTTTAAAAAAAAAAAAAAAAAAACGGACTCGAAATTGGGAATTGGGAACTGAAAATTGAAAATCAAATCGGGACTTGAGTGAATCGTTATATCCTTCGCCTCTGATTAAAAATTATGTGAAAATGTGTGGACAAGTGTTCTCAAACCTTACACACCTGCACTGAAAAAACTGTAACAACGCAATTGCAACGATTCTCCTGATTTGATGATCTATAATTCTATATGCTTCTCACGTACCAGATGAACATCAAATCTACAGCCTATGCTTTGGCTATAATTTTCATTGACAGCAGATGTTTTTTAATGCACTTATTTTTGTTGCGTGGCAGACGCGGGTGCATGATGGGCATATTCCGGTAACGTCAGACTCGAAATGATGGGGCCTTACCTTGTCCATCTTGTATTAAATGCAATTTGATACCAACAGCATTCTTGCTTATCCTCAAAAGTTTTTCCCTAGCAGACTATTGACATGGGTAAGCTGATCCGACCTCGTGTCTGGTAAGAAATCGATCGTGTTCTTGCTTCACCAATCGCAACAACCTCGAAAGAAAATGGCTTGTGAGTAGCCAAGAAAACAAATCCGCAATAGTCTCGGTGGTTCACAGGGACACTAGACTGCAATGCCGTGTATTGGATCGTACCATCAGCGTCTTCCTCCTCCTCCTCTTCATCCTCATCAATTGCCTCCTCCGCCTCCTGAGCTCCAGGGATTACTTCCTTGATGGTCATCACGGTGCCGTCTTCTGTAACAATCTCCTTGATGACCTCAGTGGGCCCTGTGGGAGCATCTTCTCCTTGCTCCTTATCTGCTGCTTCCCCCCCGGCTTCATCCTTCTTCCCTCGCCGACGTTTCTTCTTGTCCAACTTGTTACCCTGAAAAGACAGACCAACAGATATAAATTGTGTTCCCCAGCTTTACCACAGTTCTGTTTGTATGTTGCTGCTCCATGAAAGTTAAGGTAGCGCTTGTTTGCATACTCATAATTTACGTCACATGCTAATGCTATGATGTTAATTAATTCATTGCCAGACGTTTTTCTCAAATTGGGAGAGCTGGTGCCAGCCATTTTTGACCATTTTGACAAATTTTTGAAGGTTATTTTGGCACTAGCTGTTGACTGCAAATGACATCATAGTTGTTCAGGGTTCAGGTAAAATAATTACGGTTCACCTGTTTTCTGAAGCAGAGCCATGAAAAGTCATTACCTGAGCCCCGGGCAAATGCGAGGTCATTTGCAGGTTTCAGTTCATTTGAATTTTCTGTCATGCGCTGTCATCCATGTCGTCCACGTTTCAGCCTACAATAACTCAACTTCAAATTTGCACTGTCTAAACAAACAAAGTTTATTTAAGACCATTTGTGATGGCTGAATTGGCCTCAATTAATATTCCTGAAAATTTTGTCTACTATTGTTTCAGTTCAAGTGATGTTGTTGGACACATTCTTATTTTATATTTTGAAGAATTATTTGGCTTCTTTTTACTTTTGCTTGAGTCATATTGCAGGCGTCGGGCTGAAACCTCATATCTGACAATTTGGAAAATGTATTTTTTCACAAATCCAAATTATTGGTCAGTCCATCTATGAGTGTTTTTTACAATTGATTGACCAGTTTTAAGTGTTGCAAATGGCTTTCTTCCTTTGACGATAAAATATTCACGGTTGAACAAATGTGACGTCTTTGGGGCCGACTGAAAAGTGATGGTTTTGGAGTTATGAGGATTTTGCCTCACGGCAACGATATTATTCCTCAGTAACAGTCCTCTTACTTGAGTCCAATATAATACTCTACCCACCCTCTTATCATGTGTTTTTGTTGAACATTTTGTTGTTTGACATAAAAATGCTTAATTATCTTGTTTTGCATCAGTTAGGAGTGCCAAATAAACATCTTGAAGCAAGCAAGCTTTGGCAATTATTTGGAGAACTGTACAAACAAGACAGTGTCAACAGGGACTACGGAATACTTTGAAAAGTGCTTTCAGTAAATGTGCAAAAGTTTAAATGTGTCTCAAGCATGTGGGTGGGTCTGGAACGCATGCCTCGCAATAAACGCTGGTTCACTGCATTTGCAGTTTTGCACTATGAATTGAAGTGGTCTGGTGACAGCAGCTCACCCTGAGTTGAGTGGGATACCAGCGGTTCTTCACTGCGTCGTATAAGTATAGGTCATTGTAGAAGTCACCTTCCAGCGTTTCCTCCTCTTCCTCATCACAAACCCCACCGAACAACACGGCGCGCCCTGCCGGGCCCACCGCCATGGAGAAGCCGGAGCGGGGAGGCGGCTTGTTTCCAGAAGGGCTCAATCTGGACCATGTCCACTTTTCTGGAAAGCACAGATAAGTATATATTAATGTTGATATTATTAATAATAATAATAATAATAATAAGCTGTTTCAGAATCAAAAAAGATGGCTACTTTACATTGAGCTTATGTTGGTCGTACCTTGGCTATCTTTACCCTCTTGCTTGAGAAGAAACATGTCAGAGTGGATAGTTCCCTTCTCAATGTCCTTTTTCAGTCTCTAGGTGAACATAACATCGATTAGGAAATTGCATTCATCATGACAGCGGTAAACGTTAACACGATTTAATTTGTTCTGTGACCTAGGTCTAAATTTACTCATTTAACAAGTCAATTCTCCTATTTGAAATGAATTTACAGCCCTTAATTCATTTGAACAAAATTATTTTGTCAAAAATACTGTATCACTCTATAGCATTTAATCATAACAAAAGACCAAGTAAAAAAATTTGGTGGTGTGTTTTTATGGGGTGAGGCCAAGTATGAGACGTTAAGAGCTCTTATGGGTTAGTCTTCATGTGCGCCAACAGCCGCATCACCCTCAATTTGTATTTGTGTGTCTGATTGTTTGTCGTGATCAATAAATGGCTGCAAGTGTATCAGCAACTGTGGCTCTCCTTGCCCACATGCTAGGGCATGGCAGTACCCTAATTGCTCCATCCAATCATAATTACACTAACTTACCAGTTTAGAGTATCCTCCATAGATGATGACACCGGAGCCATCAAGTGTCGAGGTCATCTGACAGGCGGAGCGCGGCGAGGGGGCAACGCCTGACACAGAGAGCCGTGACCAAGAAAAAGTGTCCAGGGAAAACGAATAGATATCACTGTAGTAGATAAAATCTCTGGAAGGTGGAAAAAGAAAAAAGAAGGTTTGGAGAATTTGTCGCAGCAACTGTGTCAAAAATCTATGAAAAATAAGGGATGATATGTTCAGTCGGGCTGAAGCGAGAATGACAGATTTTCATTTACATTACTGAAAGTGTTCTTTTAATGACTGAAAATTATTCAAGTGCTTATAAGTGGGGAGTCAAATTCAATCTACTAATTGTGGGCTCATCAGAGTTACAATTGCAGTCAGAGGGACAATTACAGAATATGTACAGTGTTAAATGAGTACACCTCTTTGAAAAGTTGACTTTTTTTAGTGAACACCAGAAATTTTCAGATTGTTGTTGGCAATTACACTCACCTGCAGTTTACTTAAACTTTTAATCTCAAATTTAGGTCTGTTTTTTTTTTACAACATGAAATAAATTTGCTAGAAAAAAACATGTTGACAAATCTCTCTTGCAATCAATCAATCACATCTGTATGTTGTAGTGCAGGTACAGTACATAATAAGCCCACTTTTGGTTGGGCCACTTGTTTGATTATAGAAGTTGCAGAATGAGCTGTGTAAGTCCTATTTAGCAACAGAACGTTGATAATAGAAATTTAAGAAAAAATTTACAAACATGGCCTCGAGTTTCAATTGCCTGGCCTGGTTTATTTACATTGTGCCTACCTGGTGCTTTCATGGAAACCTCCAAACACCAGAAGCTGTCTTTTGCTGAGAGCCATCCGGTGGCCACTGCGACCTGATGGACCACCAGGTGCTCTAGACAAACACATGAGATGTTAACATGTGCTACATAACAAGGTAAGTCCCAAATAGTGCCTTCATCAACTTCAATTATCTGTATGGTGGTCAGCCTTCTACTGATAAAATGAAGGTGGCTCTTACAAGCAATGAAATGCTCCATAACTTGATGTATGAATCAAAATCGATTAGGAATTGCCTTTAAGTGAGCCTGTCATACTTGATATTCTCCCAGGTATGTGTAGCAAGGTGCAACACCCAAAGGTCCTTGTAGTGGTAGAATTGTTCCCCATTTGGAGAAGCAAACTCTCCTCCAAACACCCAAAGCTGGCCCCCACCTTGAGAGACTGCCACTGCCTGAGAGAGGGAATGGTAAAAAAGGGGAGAAGGGGGGAAGGAATATGTTAATCTTTACATATTGTTTTGCAGGATAATAACTGACCCCCAGGTCATGAAAATGCCTGACTGGCACATTTTTAAAAAATAATTTGACATTGTCATTGGCAATATAGCTGAATGAGGCTGCGTTTTAAGTTGACCCAGTGAACCTTTGCAATGGTTAGATACCCTAAGAGTGGACATGTTCGCACAGGGGGGTGTCAAACTCATTTTTGTCGCGGCCCACTTTGTCATTGTAGTTACGGTTTCCCTTGGAGGGCTGTTATGACTGTGAATTTTGTTAAACCATATAAATATTGAACCACATCCACATATTACATAAACAGGGAACAAGAAATTGATGGATAACTAGTTTTGAAATCAGAAGTCAAAAATAATGGCTTGTTCAAGCATTGGTATTACGGATTACATTTGACAATTTCAAATTTTGATTCAGATTTAGCAAGCATCATTAAAGTTGACTGCTTTATTTGCTTTTGTGGGCCACATAAAATGATGTGGTGGGCCAGCTCTGGCCCTGGGCCTTGACTTTGACACCTGTGCATAAGCAAAATAAGTCTGTGTGTGTGACTGTGACGTACCTGGTGAGAGCATCGTGGGGGAGGAGGGTTGGGGATCTCTGACTTAACCCAACTGTTCTTTTTAATGTTGTAGAAAAACAGATCATTGTACACGTATGTCTTGGGGGGGAAAGAAAAGAATTTAGATGAGAGTCTGAGACAAACAGAAAGCAAATAAAACATGAACGATTAGCATATCTATAGTGTTACTCAGAAAAAGTGTTTCTGTTACCTTCTTCCCATTAAAGAATTCGCCACCAAACAGGATGAGCTCATCTTTCTCTGGGTGAGCAGAAAGAGATGCACTTAATCTGAAAATCATGAAGGGATGGTAAGAATTACATTAGGAGTTAAATCACTGGTATTGAAAATTGAGGCTTTCAAGTGAATAACAAAAATGGGTCACATTTTGAGAGTACATTTTGTGGTTTGCTGATGGAATGCAGTGTTGGAGAAACTATGCCACTTCTCCCTTTGAGTGGTTGTGTGCTCTACTTATATTTGCTTGCAGTATAAAATTGACACCACACTCTCACCTTGCTGATGGAGGAGGACATGCAGTCTCTACTACCTGAGTCTTTTTGGCATCCAGGCTCTGAAATTCAGCAATCAGAGCCTCCAAATCTTCCTAGACATAAAACGGCAGATTAAGCCTTTCAATAATTATGCTGCACAGCAGTATATTAGTTGAGCGATTATTCATATTTAGGAATTGCACCACCAAATACACTAATGTTGGAATTGGTTTCATGCAGCATTTAATTCGATTTTAAGCACGACAAACGGCTACAGAACAAGTGTTGTGTTACTATGGTCGTATAAGTACAGTAAATCAATTGTCACCTCTTCACGTTTGGATCTCTTGGAAAGCTTTTTCTCCATTTTGGCAGCGGTCTTCTCTGCTCCCTTCACCTTCTTTTCGTTTTTCCCCTTTTTCCCCATAGCTGCTGGTGATTTTATTCAACGATAAGCGATTAGAACAGGAAATGTTCATCCATACAAACTTCCCACATGTTCAGAAAAATACACTGCGTTTCTTCCGGAAGGACTATATTACCACAGATAATTACATACTCGCTAAGAGACGTGCCTGTGTGACGGCCACACTGGTGGGGGCAACGTCCCATTAAACGTCTTGAATGTAAATGATACAAATTCATAAATTACCGATTTCTCATCCAACTTTTATGAATTTCTTTTTTTTCAACGTCAAATTAATAACAACGTCGTTATATGCATCGTATGCACTACACTGTGTCGACATTGTCATTTAATTTTGTATAAATTACGTGCCGTCTACATTAATGGAATACCCTGACACATTGCCCCCACTAACTTTGGGTCACCGTAGGCACGCAGTTGAAAGGATCATGCCGCAGCGAAATACTTTTCATTTGTATGGCTGTGACATGGACGTATAAAGGCTTTGCTTCCGGAAACGTTAACCGTCTAAATTGGACAGCGCTTCCTAGCGTATCGGAAGAGTATGTTGGGATTTAAAGGATTTGTCAGTGAGTGGGGAAATTTTATTAATTATTCAGGTGTCTTTTCTCTGCATCAATAATTAGTTTTTTTCTACTTTTTACTTTTACTTCATTCTTTTTTCCATTTATTTATTTTATATTCATTATTCACCGTAATGACAACTTCTGTGCAAACGAAATTATGTCCCGGTTTAAGGGCGCAATTGGGATTTTGGAACTGCAGGGCGGCTCTTGGGGGACAGAGAAAATATATACAGTACAGTACAGGAGAGAAAGAGAGAGAGAGAGAGAGAGAGAGAGAGAGAGAGAGAGAGAGAGAGAGAGAGAGAG